GGGGTAGGGTGCCAGCCCCATATGCCGGAGGTGGTGGGTTCAAACCCAGCCCCGGCCAAAAACAAAAAAAAAAAAAAAAAAGTAAAGAAATGGCTCAGTGCCTGTGGCTCAAGTGGCTAAGGTGCCAGCCACATACACCTGAACTGGTGGGTTTGAATCCATCCATTGTTGGGCCTGCCAAACAACAATGATGGCAACAAAAAAATATCTGGGTGTTGTGGTAGGCACCTATAGTCCCTGCTACCTGGGAGGTGGAGGCAGGAGAATCGCTTGAGCCCAGGAGCTGGAGGTTGCTATAAGCTGTGATGCCACAGCACTCTACCCAGGGCAACAGCTTGAGGCTCTGTCTCAAAAAAAAAAAAAGTGAAGAAAGAAAACTGTTACATTATATACAGTATCATCCTATACTTGTAAAAACTTGTTTCTATCAGCAAACATACTGATATAAACAACACATGAACATATTAGTACAGTCATGCACTGCACATGTAACATTTTACTCAACCAACAACAAACCAATATATGCGGCACATAAAACAATGGTGGTCCAATGAGATTATAATAGAGCAAATGCAGAAACCTGATATTGGCACTTGCTGCTGGCATTGCAGATCTAGTAGGAGTAATAACTGATGTTCAGGAATGGGGCTGGGACGTTTGGCTTTTCATATGAAAACACATACCCAAGGGGGCGGTGCCTATGGCTCAGTGAGTAGGGTGCCAGCCCCATATACTGAGGGTGGTGGGCTCAAACCGGGCCCTGGCCAAACTGCAACAAAAAAATAGCTGGGCATTGTGGCAGGTGCCTGTGGTCCCAGCTACTAGGGAAGCTGAGGCAAGAGAATCACCTAAGCCCAAGAGCCGGAGGTTGCTGTGAGCTGTGATGCCACTGCACTCTACCAAGGGTGACAAAGTGAGACTCTGTCTCTAAAAAAAAAAAAGAAAGAAAGAAAAAAAGAAAAATACTGAATTCTATATTGTGGTGGATGCCCGTAGTCCCAGCTTCTTGGGAGGCTGAGGCAAGAGAATCACTTAAGCCCAAGAGTCTGAGGTTTTTGTGAGCTGCATCACCATGGCACTCTACCAAAGGTGACACAGTGAGACTCTGTCTCCAAAAGAAAAAAGAATATTGAATTCTAAAACATACCTGGTCCCAAAGATTTTGGATAGGGAGTTGTAGACCTGAATCTACAATTGGAAAAGTACTTTTGTAATCAGAAAAAAAGCCAAAATTTTAAATGGAGTTTCTGTATTTTCCAGAAGGTGGGGGAAAGAAAAGAGAGGGAAGAGTAAAGAACAATCAGTCAGGCTCGGCGCCTGTGGCTCAAGCGGCTAAGGCGCCAGCCACATACACCTAAGGTGGTGGGTTCG